TGGCTTTCCTACCTGCCTGTCAATGTATGTATTAGCATACCTCTGCGCACCCTGTTCGCGCAGACATGATACGTCATCAGCTCATTCTTGTACGCTGTGCAGACAGAGCGAGAATGGCAGACAAACATCAACAACCCGATCTTCCTTCCTGGTATTGTAGTACTTTTAAAGATTTCTCACCGGTGAATGACACATGATGTAGCCCAGCGGTTAATCCAGTCCTCGCGCCAGCTCATTAGAAGTGAGCATGAACTGTGTTCCGATCTATATGATCCCTACACAGTGTACATTGCTCCCTACTCCCTGAGGGGGGGAAATCCGTTGAAGTTTACTTCACTTCGGAACATGGGCTGTAATGTTGTCTCTGGTCTGTGAGCGTAAATGCGTTCAGGGGGCGTGGCTTTGGACGGCGATTGCAGGGAGGGTGGAACGTTCGCTTTCAGTGCTATCAGGCTGAAGTTAGCATTTTCCAAGATCTCCTATTGTACCTTTAAATATAGTCTTTTAATTTAATCTAATGATTATTGTCCTAAATATGCCAACAATATTTTTTTGGTATATAAAAGTATCCTGATTTAAGAATTTTTAGATTATTTTGACTTGAAACAAGACAAAAATACTAAGTAAGATAAGCCATTTTTTGCAGTGTACTGTTACACTGAATGGTATCTTCTGTAAATCATTGTAAAAATGTATGATAGTCATGTATGATATGATATATGTGATATATGATATGATATATGATATGATATGATATGATTGATATGATATATGATATGATATATGATGATATGATATATGATATGATATATGATATATATGATATGATATGATATATGTGATATGACGATTTTATGTATGTATGTATGTCTGTATGCATTTATTTTGTATTTTATTAAATTTTTTTTTTTTTTACTCGAAAAACGTATTTTTGATGTCATCAGTATCCCAATATTAATGATTTAGTCATCAAATATATTTCCATGACATACGTTTATTTTGAAATAACTGGAATATTGTTATTCATGACTTTTAATCTTGCGCTTGAGGGACAGCTGGGTCGGCTTTCAATCATTTCACAGCACTGAACACTGGCAAAGGCCTCATACTGGTGGGAACGAAGTCTTCAACGAAAATAACAGCATGTGATGCACAATTTACTTTTGAACAGCATCTAGCGATTCATATTCATCCCTGCATATATTTCCATGACATACGTTTATTTTGGAAATAACTGAATATTGTTATTCATGACTTTTAATCTTGCGCTTGAGGGACAGCTGGGTCGGCTTTCAATCATTTCACAGCACTGAACACTGGCAAAGGCCTCATACTGGTGGGAACGAAGTCTTCAACGAAAATAACAGCATGTGATGCACAATTTACTTTTGAACAGCATCTAGCGATTCATATTCATCCCTGCATTCATTACGCTTCACCTGTGGACAGCCAGGTTATGGAACTGAGGGACTCCCCGCTCTATGGAAACAAGTAAGCCCAGCATGCGGTCCTCATCCTGCAGAGATCAATTTGTGAGTGATTTCATTTCCCACAGAAAGAAATACGCAGACAGACCTTCCACTCAGCCTGCATCTGCATTTCACTCCTTCCTGTCAATTCGTAGATGGCCACCGCAGACCTGCATTCAGAAACGGCTCCTTCTGCTTTTCTTCGCCACTCATGCAAATCAAATGCTTTTCTCTTTTCTCTAAATGGGCAGAAGGACTCCTCCTGGCCTCCATTCACAGAAGTAGAGCTGTTTACAGTTGGCCATATTCCTATGGCAACTTAAAAGCATTACGCTCTAATGGAAGCAATAAAAGAACGAAAGCGGCCCGTTGGTACGATGGACACGGACACTGTGGAGAGGACTCATTTGAGACAAATGACTTGAAGCAAAGGAGACACTCGCATTATAAACTGGAACCGAGAGTAGAAAACAGCAAAAAATAAATTAAAAAATCACATAAATAGGAATGAATTATTCAGGAAGGCTGGGAAATCGGATACTGACAGTCTCCAAAGTCTATCTTCCACCTCATCGCGTAGCTGTCATCCAAATAAATGGCGCTAGAGCATTTAGTCTAATAGGTGTGGAAGAATACAGTCCTCTTAGCTTTCAAAAATGTGTGAATTTTTAAGACCTCTCGCTATTTGCGTAAACCGTGACACGTCTTCCCTCAATTAGCCCCATGTTCTGGGTATTTAATAGCGTCCAGGTGTGGATCGCTTGGCTGGAGAGAGAGAGCAAGAAAGAGAGATGCCACTTAATGCCAAAATTGTCTTTTAAAGGAAGTTGTCTGTTACAAATGCATGGATGTTAGCACTTTTCAAGCATGGCTAACTCCCGCAGTCCATCAGCAACCGAGCTTGGATCAAGTCCAGTCTATTTGTGGAGAATTGCCTTGTTTTACTTTCATTCACAGTTTGTTGCACCATAGTCATTTACATCGCCTCTGACAGATCTAATATGAGCATTTGAGTAGCATAACCCCACATCTTGACTTGCCTCGCAGCTTTCGTACGGTTCCCCACCTCGGGTGTGCCCTTAGTGTAACAGCAGTTTTCACCACAGTGAGGTTCCAAATTCCCCAAAGTCATTATTGTCTCCTGCTAAGTTTCCCCAGCCTGCTATGATTTGTGGGTAATGAGCTGGCAACCGGGCCTAGGCTCAATTATTCTCACTGAGGGAGTGATTTCTCACTCTATAGAGCAGAGCACAAAGTGCACTCACTAATTCTAATCAGGACATAACACACTCATAATCACCCGTGCGGAAATAAAAGAGTGACTGAAAAGAAAGGAAGAACGTAAATAATGGTGAAATATGGACAGGGTTGCCATGTTGTGGAGGACAGACTCATGATTACAGGTAAAGGAAGACGTGCTTTGTGTTTTGTCAGCATGACAGGTGCAGAGTTTCACACCATGCCAAAGATAGATAAGCATCCTTTATTGATCCCTGAGGGAAAATTCTGCATGATTGCATAAAAACATGGCCTGATTAGACTTAGATAATGTTGTTCAGTCAGAACTTTGAATATAGATAGAGAAGCTAGAAAAGAGGATTGATATAAAAAGTGTGAACTTTTGGAAGCAACTCTGAGTTGAGGTATCCCAAAGATAACATTATACGGCATTCATGAAACCCAATTCTGATGTGCTGCTCACACTGAGGTTGTCAAAATGTGTCACTTTTGGGTTTGTACCCAAGTACAAGTAGAAACTCCTACTCGACCACTGTACCAGAAGTCTGATCATGTGACTTTCACTGTCACTCTCATTGGTAGTTGCCGCATTGCATTGCTGCTCATTGCATAAAGTTTCTCAACTTTGTTGCATCGCCAATGATCACTGTTACTCGTGTTGCCTAAAATTGTTGCCTATATTTTGTAGCTTAAATATACTGCTTTGTTGCTACAAATTGCTTTCCTTTACAAAGGAAGTGTGGAAAAACGATGTTTATGCTGAGACAATGAAAGACGCAGAAGCAAATAATATCTCGGACTAGAAAGTGGAACAATGGATAGAGACACAGATGTGTACAAAAGCAACAACAGCAGTCATTTCTTCAGACTCGTCTCGTCTCTTTCTCCGCTGCCATGCTTTGAGGTGAAAGTAAAGTCTTGTAAGGAACCCCAAAATGCCTCTTTCTCATGTACAAATGAGATAAGAGACGTGCATCTAGACTCGCCACAGAGCTCAGTCCACTTCAAAAGGGAGAGAAATTCTGACTGAATGCGTCTGGGCTGAGCGAAAAAGAAAATAAATTGTGCTTCTCTGGATTGCAGTGAGCACAAAAGGTACAAAATGCATAGCTGATATCTGTAAAAGCTTGCATCTTAATATAACTTTCCTTTGGCTGTTCTATTCAGAGCCAAGCAATTGTTCTGGGAGTTCAGACAGACCAAAGAACTTTGCAGACTGTTTTGATCCGTTAGAAATGCGAATGTCAGTGAGAAAGTTCCCGAATGGCTGTGTCTGGTGGTTTATTATGATGTAAGACATTCATTTATGCAACCAAGGAGCCAGAATTAGGACACAAAACAGTCTGGAAGAAATCTGCATTACATATATTAGCAGGACATATAGGGGACAACTCCAGGAGTAACCTGATTGAGTTTGAACTAGCAACTTTCCAGTTCCCCGCCTTAAGCTTTGATACAACACCACTCCAGATTGGTGATTTGGAAGCTGACCCTTTTTAAGTGTTCGAACAATTATCTGAAATGAAACAGATCACCTACAATTATTTAGCAAGTCCAAGTAAGTCAAGCAACGCCCTTGATCAGCTCCACTAAATCCCAGGCAGGAGCAGAAACAAAGGAAGTGTGTGTTATGACATCATCGCCAAACTTCTAACCTGATGCACATCCTAAAATGACACACAGACTTCCCAGCTGGGATAAGCAGAGGTGAAGAAAACAGTGTGTTCAGTCATCACCAAAGAGGTACATAAGAACAAAGGTCACCTTCTACACGTATCTGTTCTGGGTCACTACGGTGAGGACAGCTGCAGAATGTATGGTGTAGACTTGCAATGAGAAATTCTGAAAGTTCATGCATTTTTGCCTGACTGAAAATCCAAATAAAACTGGCTTAAAGGGATAGTTCACCCAAAAATGAAAATTCTGACATTAATTACTCACCCTCATGTAGTTCCAAACCCATAAGACCTTCGTTCATCTTCAGAACACAAATTAAGATATTTGAGATGAAATCCGAGAGCTTCCTGATCCTCCATAGACAGCAATGCAACAGCCATGTTCAAGGCCAAGAAAGGTAGTAAGGACATTGTTAATAGTCTATGTGACATCTGCGGTTCAACCTTAATTTTGAAGCTACGAGAATACTTTTTTTTTTGCAAAAAGAAAACAAAAATAACGACTTTATTCAACAATTTCTTCTCTTCTGTGCCAGTCTTCGATGCACGTTCAGAAGAGTACCATGACACATGTCTATGGAGGGTCAGAAAGCTCTCGGATTTCATCTAAAATATCTTAATTTGTGTTCCGAAAATTAACAAAGGTCTTACGGGTTTGGAACGACATGAGGGTGAGTAATTAATGACAGAATTTCTATTTTTGGGTGAACTATCCCTTTAAAGTAGTAGCTGATTTTCAGAACATTATAGGCGGTTTTTCGTTTGTCCAGATTCATTAAACTGGCTGACCAACTGGACGAGTGACGAGCTGGCAAAAAAAATTTTGGTCAAGGGCCCTGCTGACAGAAAAAAATAAAATAAAAAATAAAAACAGGTCACACCTGTTTAAGGTAGTTAAGCTAGTTTATGGAACAAGGGAGCTAGTTTGCTGCTGGTCTAATCTTGACCAAGTCTAGTCAGGTCACACCAGCTGGTAGTCCAGCTAGTCAACCACCTAACAAAGCTTATGACCGACATGGACCAATCGAAAGAACCTACCATGTTCAAAGTCCCAGCCACCACCTTAAACTGGTTCAAACGGGAATTTCCAGGAAGGTTCTGTCACTTGATTCCAGCGCTCGGTCCACTTCAGAAGATAAAAATTCTGACTGAGCAAAAAAGAAAATAAATTGTGCTTCTCTGGATTGCAGCAAGCACAACAGGTACAAAATGTGTAGCCAATTATCTTTAAAAGCTTGCATCTTCATTTAGTTTCCTTTGGCTATTTAGAGACAAAAACAGGCCACACCAGTTTAAGGTAGTTAATCTAGTTTATGGAACAAGGGAGCTGGTTTGCTGCTGGTCTAATCTTGACCAAAGCTTTGACCGGCTTGGGCCAGTCGAAGTGTTCAAATTCTCAGCCACAACCTCAAACTGGTTTCTATGAAGGTTCTGTCACTTGCTTCCAGTTGGAGTAGCATGAAAAGGTCATAGTTTGGGCCAGTGGTGGCAGGTTAATGGAGAAGAATGGTTTCAGTTCACTAAGTGCTCTCCACAGGACAAGCCTGGATGCGTTGTGAGGAAAGCTTTTCAGAAAGGTCAAATGGTGTCAGCTGTGGGCCTGGGGAACGTGAGGAGCCCAAGACATTAGATTAAGGGGTTAAAGGTCAGACTTAATGTCTACTTCACCAACCTGTCCCTCAGAGATTAGCTGAACTCCGCTATGAGTCTCACCGACACCTAGACCGTCACGTACAACAGCTCTTATACTCAAAGACAGGAGACAAAGGGGGTGAAATTGCACTCGAATGTGTGTTTAAGAGAGTTGGTGTGCCAGAGAAGAAATTAAAGCTAGATCAACAGGCGCTTCGGCTCAGCAATACTGAATAAAGCTTTAGCTAATGTGTTGGCGATGGGCCTCGTTTGGAAATCTCTGAAGCTCTTTGCAATGTAGCTTTATAGGAAAGTGCAAAAGAAATGTGTTTTATTTGTTTACATGGACAAATGGAAGCCAAATGAGTGTGAGGGACGAAGCCAGCAGGCAGGAACAAGGCAGATATTTAATTACGGTAGGCTGAGCTTAGCAGTGTCTCAGGTTGCATTGTCTGGGTTTCTTTGTAGGAGCTGCTCTCTGGTGGGCTGCCATTTGCACTGTGAATAATCACAGTGTGTGTGTGTGTGTGTGTGTGTGTGGTATGATGGGAGAGGCCTTTCAAAGGAGCCAAGGGAAAGAGGGTTTCTTCTATC